GGGAGGGGGGAAAGAATGGATGGGTGGATGGTTGGATGGTGGATGGGTGGATGGTTGGATGGTGGATGGATAGATGGATGGTGGGTGGATGGTGGATGGTGGATGGTTGGATAAAGGATGGATGGATCGATGGATGGATGGTGGGTGGATGGTGGATAGTTGGATGGTGGGTGGTGGCTGGTGGCTGGTGGCTGGTGGCTGGTGGATGGTGGCTGGTGGATGGTGGATGGGTGGATGGTGGATGGTGGATGGTTGGATGGTGCATGGTAGATGGTGGCTGGTGGATGGGTGGATGGTGGATGGTTGGATGGTGGATGGTGGCTGGTGGCTGGTGGCTGGTGGATGGTGGCTGGTGGATGGTGGATGGTTGGATGGTGGATGGTGGATGGTTGGATGGTGCATGGTAGATGGTGGCTGGTGGATGGGTGGATGGTGGATGGTTGGATGGTGGATGGTGAATGGTGGGTGGTTGGATAAAGGATGGATGGATGGATGGATGGATGGATGGATGGATGGATGAAAATAAAGAATAGGGTGCAATGCCCTTGGGTCATCTCTAGCCTGGGCACTGCATTCCTGAGCTGCCAGCACTGAGGTGCACAGATGCAGGCTGGGCTGGACCCGGAGCTGCAGCAACAGCCTGGTGAGTGAGGGGGTGGGGGTCCTGCAGTTACCATTGCAGTTGGGTCAGGAAGCCCTGGCACTGACAGATGGCCCCAGCTGAGCCTCCCCGCACCCTCCCTCACTGCCATTGCCCAGCCTAGAGCACAGAGTCCCATAGCCTGAGACCTGAAGGCAGGCTGACCTGGGGGTGACTGTCCACGGGGCCTGAGTTGCCTGTGCCTGTCACACCCTGGGCGGGGATTGGGACCCCAGGCCAGCGTGAGGATCAATGCTCCAGGAACAGGAAAGTCATGTGGGGGCTGAGTTTACAGTTATTTACCTCTGTCTCTCAACTGGCTTTTAACAAAGCAATTTCAGCATCTAATTAAGTTGTAAAATGGACTATTAGGATCGCTAATTGCTACGTACTTCACAGGAGAAACTCACTGGCGCGCAGTTAATGTAAATCGCTTGCTGACGCAGGTAATTACACCGCTTTGGAGAAGCCCGGCAAGCCCGCCCTCTGGGTACGCGTGTGTGGGACCCATTACCGAGGACTCTCAACTCCCTGGGACATAAATATGGGCCATTTTTCCAGTAATTGCTCCCACCTTGCTGTCAGACCCTATGTCACCCCTGCTCTTTCCCACAGAGCGGCAAGGAACCCGAGGGATGGCTCACCCGATTCCATCAGTTTCGATGTTTTAGTTACTCTGGGGAGGTTCACCAGGCCGGTCATTGCTAGGGTGGAGCCTCAGCTGTGTGGCCTTGGTGTTTCCATTTGTGTTCCTTGAAATGGGGACAATCACAACACCTTCCTTCTTGCATGACAGTGCCGACTGAGGGGCGTAACACATGGAGGTGCTTAGGATAGGCTGGGGGAGAGCAGGTTAGGCTTTAGTAGGGCTGAGCCAGTCTCATTATTTTTTTTATGACTTGGTCCTATTTATTTTAATTTATTTTTCATCCTTACCTGAGGATAGTTTTTCCATTGCTTTCCAGAGAGAGTAGAAGGGGGAGAGGGGGAGAAGGGGAGAGAAAGAGAGAGATTAGTTGCCTCCTGCATGTGCCCCAACCAGGGCTAGGAATGGGACCTGCAACCCAGGTACATGCCTTGACTGGGAATCGAACCCGAGACCCTTCAGTCCGAGGACCAACAATGTCCAGACGGTATCTGCCATCAGCCGGACTCGGAGTGAGGACCATGCAGGAGAGGGCCTGCTGACCTCCAGTGGACACGCAGTGTGAGGGGGGAAAAGACCTGTCCTGTGGCATGAGATTTAGGGATGTTTGTTACACAGCAGCTTGGCCATCTGACCGATACACGGGGCAGCAGACAGTCCCTCGCCTTCATTCCTCTGCATGAACGTGGTGAGTGCCCTGTGAGCACCCCCAGGTCCTGCCCGCCTTGCGCACACAGTGTCTGTCCCTCACTGACCCCTTATTTATTTTTGTTAATCTTCACCCGAGGATATTCTTTCCATTGCTTTTTTTTAGAGAGAATGGAAGGGAGGCGGGGAGAGAGAGAGAAACCTCAGTGTGAGAGACACGTTGATGGGTTGCCTCCCGCACACACCCCAGCTGGGATGGGGAGAACCTGCCACCCAGGTACGGACCCTTGACCGGGAGTCGAGCTGGTGACCCTTGGGTCTGCGGGTCGGCACTCCAACCACTGAGCCAAACCGGCCAGGGCTGGACCCCTTTATTGAAGTCTGGGGGAGGAAGAGGCAGCCTCGCGGTGAGCTGGTTCTGCGCTGTGGTCCGTTCCGCCAAGCCGAGGCTCAGCCCGGTATCGGGAGCCACAGATCAGAGGGCTCTCCTGCTGACGGCAGAGGCGCCCATGTCCTTATAGTCGTCGCTAGTGACCCACATGTCCTTGAAGGTAGAGAGCGAGCACAGGATGGAGCCGCCCACCCAGGCGCTGTACACAGAATAGGGGCAGGTGCACACCTGGATGGGGGCCGAGG